GTTCCTAGGCATTCCTCTCTGGGGGATCGCATTGCTGCCTGCCCTCGGTTTAGTGTATCTGGGGCACGGGGAACTCCCCTTGAGCGCACCGCGGATCGGGTTTGCAGTGAAGCCGGAGCGACTTTTGCCACCAACACAAGGCGTGAACTTCGACGCATCCAGACATCACGAACGTCGAATTGGGGTAATCGCTGATGGGATACCTTTGTGGGAGGCTCGCAGCTAGCTGTCGACACGATACCTGGTCTCGCCCCTCACCTCAGCCGGCGTTCCTCGTCGCAGTCGCGGCGACGGTGCTGGCGCAGCCTTAGCCGATGAACGCCGGGCCAAGGAACGCACTTACCCCGAGTTTGCTGTTGCCCAGCGGTGTCGACTGGTTGTCCTTGGGCTCGAAGTTTTTCTTTTCCTCGAGTTGGAGGCCACTGGGGTGCCGACGCAGGCACTTTCATGCGGTTGCTTGCACGTCCACGGCTCGCAGCTCCTTCGCAACGAGTCGCTTGCGTTGCCGCGGTTGTCGGACGCTGGTCCTGGTTTTCACCACTGCAGCTGCACGAGCCTTCGCCACCAGCTTGCTGTCACTGCCGCTCTCCGGCACAACTAACCTCGATGGAGAAGCGCTCTTATTGAGCGATGTCCCTCGCTGATTCGTCCGAAGCCATGCCGCTTGCCTCGCGCATAAAGTGACATCGGTCCTCCAGTCGGTTGGAGGGTGATACGACGGTTTCGTTGCACCCCGTAGCCTGCTGCACTGGGATCGCGTTTGATTGCTTGCGAAAGCACGGGAAAAGGATCGTGGCCTTCTGCGCATTTGTTTGGAAAGTGTTCACGTGTCACTCGCATCTTGTGTTGATTTTGTTTGCTGCAAAAAACATTGAAAACCGAAATGCGCCCACGGTTCTACAACTCTGGACCGGTGATGCTGCACGGACGACATGGCTGCGGATGGCTGCGGTATGCACACCAAACGTTCAAGCTCTGTGATGGTGTTGGTCTGCCGCAAACTGGCATGATTTTAATGTGTTGTTCGGCATCCAACCACCTGGTAGTGGTAGTGGTTTCCACAACGGTTTGGAACATCGCTTTCATTTTGTATAAGTTGCAGATGACTGCGCGATGTTTGGACCCCAAATCAAGCACATCAACTGCGCAAAACAATAAATTCGAGTCGTCGCTTGATGCGAGCGGACATGCGACATGCCCGGCTCTCCGGCAAATTTTCATGGTTGGGCAAGCAAAGGCTGAGCGTTTGTTAGAACTCCCGAATCAAATCGCCATGGACTCCCATATTCCACTGCGTATTGAAGTCACCACCAAACACGGAAGTACACGGCATGTCATTGCAGATCGGCCAAGATCCAATGAAGTTGATCATACGCTGTGCACGAATCATCACGTGGATATCCTGCTTGCGGCATCTGCACGGAAATAAATTTGCAGATGCCGTTTTATGATGTTTATGTCAATGAGGCTGAGGCGGTGACTGATCACAGGTGTTTGGGGTCACGCCATGAACCCAATGTTGGTTCGCAAGAATGGCGACACTCGCAACAACTGTTTTGCGATGATAAATCGAGCGTGAGACCACCCGTGCACGATTTTGCAATGGCCGGAGTTCCGACGCGTCTCGCTGAATAGCACCACCACATCCCATCGACAAGGGTTCCATGTGCCCAAAAACAATGGCTAGTTGGTTATCTCATGCATCGCAGCGCAGCCTTCAAAGTTTCACATCAGTGCCAGTGTAAACAACCCGCACGGCACCGCGAAGTTATGACGAGCGTTGTATCGTTACTAGAAAACAAATTATTGGACGTGTCCCATGCAGCATTGATGCGAGGCACAATCCCTATTACGTGGAGTGCATGTACGTGCTGTCGTAAGAATTGGTCCAGGCTTCCATATTGAGAAAAGGCTTTGTGTGCAACATGCGCGGAAAAAAAAACAAAAATCGTTAGCAACGCGACTGTTTAGCTTCTTGGTGGCAATGCCGATCTTGACGGGCTCTGGGCGGTTTCGCAGCTAATCTCGGCAAGATTAAAATCTGTCGTGCGGGCGGAGGGCCACCACTGCCAGGCTTTGACGCCCTGGGACCTGGAGTCTGCTGCGAGCTAACGACTTGCGGCTTCGTCGTTTCGGGCGTGCTGATCGGGCATGCGGAGTTCGTGCAACGCACCCTGGCCCTGCGCGCTTGGTTCGTGGATGAGCACCGCCCGCGGCGAGAACGGCAGAAGCTGCCTCATATGCGGAGCGCGTGGCCAAGTTTACCGTTCCAACCCGTGTGCTCAACACGTTTTGCGCACGGTGCCGCCGCTGGACTTGGCCACGCATGTCATTTTGGCGGAGCTAACGAGAACGGGAGTGGGATGTGGCGCAGCAGCTTGCTGGGTAGCTTGAGCGGTCGCGCTCCCGATAATGCAAAGGAAACACTTGGACGCCGCACGCCATGAGCCCAAGAGCTCGCTTTTGGCGGCGTATGGAGTGCGCCCTGCCTGGCTTCATGGTTGGCAGAAACCAGCGGCTCGCGCATTGAACACTTTCTATCGCGAGCGTTTTCCTCCTTTGCGGTGTGTGTGTGTGTGGCCAGGTTTCTGAGCTTCGTTGCGTTCCCAGGCAGGCGCGCATGCGGCGAGTGGTTGCGGGCCATCGCCACCTACAACTCCTGCCGGCGGACATGCAAGTTGCATGCACGAGACGCTTGCGCTTACCGCTGCTTTTGGCAGCGTCCCATTGTAGTGGATATGGCGAGCTGCAAAGCTGGATTAACCAGCTGGGAGAAGATTGTGTTTGTGGTCGGAGCGGGCTGCCGGCCAGGCGCGCTCCCATACTCGAGCGAGCGTGGGTTCGCGTCGCGCGGGAAGCCGTTTTGCCGCTGAAGGACAACCCCGACGGTGGCCCGCGCGAACCACCGCGCCAGGCGTTGCAGCGCACTCTGCCGCGATCTGACCTTTTTTACGCCGCTGCACGCAGAAGGGTTTCCGCAGCTGGCATTGTTGGATCGGGACGGGGCCGCCAGCGACGTGGCGTCGTGTTGCCATCAACGGCACTACCTGGAACTTGCCCGTCCAGGCCGGTGGGGACAGGAGGCACGCGATTTGGTCGGCCGCCTCGCGCGGCAGATCTCTGCGCCGTGGGTGCTGCGAGCTGTTGCCCGCGCAGCGTGGGATTGCAGGTGGTGGGAGCATGTGGGAGCAGCTAGGCCGCGGGTTGCAGCTTGCCTTGGCGTCAACGCCTGTTGGAGGCGTTTGGCGAGCGCCCGCTCAACTTGTGAGAAATGAACGTATACCCCTCCATCGGATTGTAGCGCTCGCTGAGGCCGAGCGACTAAGGAAATTGATTCCAGCCATATTCGAGCAGCCGGCGTGCTTGCCAGCCGAGCTCTCCCGCTCGAGCACGCTGTCGCCCGAGTTTGCCGCGAGGCTGGGGCGCGGGTCGCGAGGCATGTGCGCCTCGCCGACATGAACCTCGACTCGCCAGTCGGTGATGAAAGGCGCATCGAGGTCGTCGCCAACGGCCTCCCTCTCTGGCACGGCTCCCAGCTCGCACTCGACGCCACCATCGTCTCCCCGCTTACAAGGCGAGGCGAAGCCCATCCGCGAGCCGATGTGCAGCCAGGCTATGCAGTCGAGGCTGCCGCCAGGCGTAAACGCCGGGACACCTACCCCGAGCTCGCCCGGGCGAGCCGGTGCCGACTCGTTGTAGTTGGTGTCGAGGTTGGAGGCAGGCTCGGGGCAGAGGCTGCCCAGTGCGCGCCAGCGAGTGGAAGCTCTGCCTGCCCGCCTCCGCCCGACCGCCATTAACGCCTGGGTAGCTGGTCCGGCCTCCTTGCAGTCGCCGCGCAGCGAGCGTACGCTGCCTCGCTGCTTGAACACCCTCCTGCTGCCGAGCTCAGCGAGGGCACTGAGCCTGACCTGCATGAGGTCCTCGCTGACGCCAGGTGGCTCCAGGAGGTCCCGGCCAGCCGCCTGCCCCCACGCTAGCTGCAGTGTGGTGCCTTGAGTGCACCGTCTTCAGTGGTATAGGCAACGGTAGGCCATCAAACTCTAGCTCGACCGGACACGTTCTGGTGTCGCAAGAAGGTGCGCGAAAAAAAACAAACTGGTGCGCCTTCCATCTCCTGATTCAGCAGCGTAAAGAGCATTGGGGCAGCAAGGAACAACCACAACATACGCTGCAAATAAACTTGATAAGCTTTGCGCAGATGGCATCAAACATTTTTCGATCGTGGCATGGTGAAGGTAATGTCATATGTCGGTTGAGAGCGCACGAGCATCAGGGTAGAAGGGAAATGCAACCAAAAAAAAGAATGTCGCGGCCACCTGATACGTCGTGCACGTTTGCCAGCATGCGATGGCATTGCAGCTCAAGTGACCAGGTTTCCGGCCCAAGTTCCATGCAACTCGATCATGGATGTAGGTTAAGGTCCTCCGCAAGCCAGGGTTCAGGATTGGGCTATACGGTGTCAGAGAATTCTTTGTCATTGTCGCAGTTTCTGCGAAAACTAGGTCAATATGTATTCAAACAGATGGGCTTTGCTGTTGGTTATTGTGCCGATACTCGCAAATGTCATGCAGCTGTCGGATCAAACTTGTGACCAGCTTCAGCCACAGAATTGACTCGAAAAGTTTAGTGTCGAAGCGTTTGGAGTTCCGTGCGCATGATTCTAATCACAACGGGGTTGAGCAGGCGGACTTGCGTTTCAAGTCGTTGTGGCAGTATTGCGAATATCACCTACAACGAGTATGCGCGACTTACTTGAGCAAAACAGTCCCACGTGGCACCAAAGTCATTGAATGGCCTCGTTCTACTCTGGGGATGCTGCTTCCCGATCGAATCAATCATCACGGCGCTAGCGGAGGCCAAGCAGCACGCCACCACCCACGTTCGATGTCAGGATCAACAAGGAGATAACTGGACTTGATTCTGGAGTTGCCGTGCTGGCATTTGTACAGTAGCGATGGGCAGAACTTGAAGAAGCTCATTTGGTGACTGCATTGCACCGCATGGCCAAGCTTCGCGATGGTTCAGGCCTTGTGGACAACAGAACATTTCGCCAGGTTGTTGAGTTCGTGCATGATCGAGTGCGAGTGGGCAGCACGCCACGGCACATAGCCAACACGATTTGGAGATGTGCTCGACTGGCGCACAAGTCGACAGCTCTGATTGAGGACGGGTTGTTGGCCGGATGCGAAACCCGACGCAATGAGGTTTCTCGTTTGCTTATGAGTGTGAGTGTCATCCAACAGGATACCGGCCGAGTTGTCATCGCACGACTAAGCGAGCTCAAGCCACAAGAGCTGGCCAGCACCGTGTGGGGGCAGGCTCGCGCGTTATTCATTCTTATTGTCACAATATGTCACAATCGTGTTTCGTGTTGCTTGAGTGCATTCTAGCAACGCAGGCTTCATCGCAGCATTGTGATGAAACGTCGAGTATGGCAACTGTAGGCCAAGCGGTTGAACGCCTGCCAGGCAGAGGGCCCCTTCGATACAAGAGTCAGAAAATGTCAATTTGTTGTGAATGCATAGCGTTCGGCGTTGTTCCTTCCTGGCAATTCGCAGGTCGGGCTCACATGTAAACAATTTTATGAACGTTTCCCTGTGAGAGGCTCCGATCCGCAAGGCATCTCTGGCATGGCGTGGGCTTTGGCACAATTGCGATTGGCAGACGCACCATATTTTGATGCTGCGTCTCATGCCGTCCATGCCCGCAGCACAGAATCAGGCCTGACCCACCTCAAGCTTGATTGTCACCGCTCTCGCTTCTTGCAGTTCATGAAAGGAGCTCAAGAGATTTCCAACATCATTCGGGCTTGTGGCAAATTGCGATACCAACAGCCGTCGTCAGCAGAGTCTTTGGGTGCTCGTGCGTTGCAAATCACGGACGAGTTCATCAGTCGGCGTCTCAGATATCAGTCAACCATAGTCTCTCTCTCACATGAGTCCCCAGTGCATGGCATCAGAAAGATGAATTGCTTGGGTGTTCCTGTCTGCCGGGTTAGGTCTTGAGACATGATCAGCACCGAATGTTTACAGAGTTGTTTCGTAGTGCAGTGGGCTTGCATGCCGAAAGGTCAGCATGCATCCAACATTATATGGTCCCCAGCTCGTCTTGACTGCCGCCACCCTACACTGGTCCGTGCCTGGGTTGATGCCCTGTGATGCGAGCTGCAACACAAGTTGGAACCTGCAAGACCTATACGGCTGTCCCAGGTTGCGGCAACGTCGGAGTACGCCATGCGGAACATGACTATCTTAAGCGCACAGGCCGTCCCTGTGTTCCTAGGCAGTTCCCAGGATAATTTGATATTATACACGCGCGACCCACTGGCAGCTATTGTTAAGTTTTGGACGTCTGGGGCAGGATCTATGCATTACAGCTTGGTCGGCGGCCGTGTCGGAATTGCGTGGCTGGATGCCCCAGCCTGAGACGGAGGGCCTTCGCGAGATCGTCAGTTACACGGTGTGGCACGCATGTGGTCAGCTGGCTGCCCGAGGCTCTTGGATGCGACTGCTTCAGAGGTCCTTCCCAAGCTGAAGGCTTGATCGAATTTAAGCAAGACCTCAGGGGAGGTTCCTATAAAAATGTGCTGGCTGCGAGGCCTGTGGGGCCCAGGGCATTGCCAACCTCATATGGTCTTGCAGCACACTGCCCGGGACCTTCGAGCTACTGTAGCATCAGTTTAGACGTCCGCGTTGATGTGGTAGTGTTTGCCAGCCAGGCTTTGGTTCCATGAGCCGTTGACTGATGCGATTGCATTCAGAGGCAAGGTCGCGAGCTACTTCATTCGATAACTCGGGGAGCATTCCTTAAAGTCGAGGAAAAGTGCAGTTTCTGGATTCGCCTAATGAAGCGCATGGGTGTTGTGCACTGATCTGTTGCTATTTTGGATGCAACTCGTCGCGTCGTAGCTGTGTAGCATTGGTGCCCACGGATTGTGAGCTACCTGCCAAGCTCTGTGCCGTGCCGAACATAACATCGAAGTTGTTTTTAAATTCTTAAAGCTCTTGCTTGCCAGGTCTGGAGACGTGCCTGCAACCGTCGTCGGGGTCGTCGGGTGGGCGTAGGAATACGCCCAAGCCGCAGGAGCAGGCCGGGCCTCGCAGCGCCGAACATGCTAAGTGCACTAAGCAAGCCAGCTCTCGCGGTGTCTGACGTGTGCAGGCCAACACTGCGTGGAGCCTTACCAGGCAGAGCCTATTTCTTCCCGGGTCGGAGTCTAGATCCTCCGGTCATGCACCCTAGCGTTTGGCCAATTCTGCACAAACGAAGGCAATCATGTGGATGCTTTTCTGTGTTGTGAATTCTCGCCTTCTCCAACGGATTTTGGCCCACCTTCCTGCTCCGCCTTCCTGCACCCTTTTTTTTGCCCTTTCCCCTTCACCCCGTCTCCTCTCCCCCCGGGCGCCCCTCCCCCCTCCGTGCCCTGCGCCCCCTGCCCCTTGGCCTGCTCGCCAACAACACTGAATTGGCCCTTGCCACTTACACCCTTGCTTTTGGTTGTTAAGCACTTACCCCCCACACACACATTAGGTGGTCGCGCACCTCCTTGCGTATTGCCGATTTGCCCGGCGAACTGTTGACAGAACTGATCATGTCAATGATGGATGCGCTGCAGCAAGTGCTTTGAAACGCCCTGATGTGCATTGCGTACGTGCTAGGTTCAGACTGTCCGCGTCTTTTGTACATGTTGGTAGTGCCAGGTTCGGAAATTGCTTTAGGACCAAGCTGTACAGCAGCACCAGAGCCGAGCATCCAGCCTTGATGTCGAGGCTTGCCGCTTACTCGGAGTCGCTGTCGGCGGCAATTGCAGCCTCCTGCATTGCAGGATCCGGTGTCTTGGAGGGCGTCTTGAACACTACGGTATGTGCAATTTTCATGGCATGCAGGACTGCCAATGGCATCGCCGCAGGACTGCTTCTGTTCTGGGAAACACGTAGCTGGGTAAACCTGCATCGCCATGGGGCGCACAGGATATTTCGAGCACGGCCCGGTCCTTCGCCAAGTAGGGCCTTGCAGGCTCGCCTTTTGTCCGTTAGAAGCATTGGATTCCCGTGCAAGCATAGGACAGACACGTTTTACCCGTTCTTACAATATCAGCTTCATTTATGGATCAACAAAGTATTGAACATGAAATTCTCCGAAGTTGTGGTTGTTGCCCAGTTTGCTGCGAAACGAGCACGACAGCAGGTGCGCCACTTTTTTCTGCAGCTGCCATCACAGTCCTTGAGCGAGTGGGCCAATCTGGTCCCCAGGACCTTGCGGAGAGTTGCTGTGAACGTGCATAGGCCCTGCAAAAGCCTGCAGAGATGCCAAGCATGCTGTCAAGGTGGTTTGTGTTTGCTTCCGGGTCCGAGGGTGTCCAAGACCAAGACGATGTTCTCGTCTTGCCTCTCTCCCTCCCTTGGTTGTCATGCGATATCCTCTCTTGACAATGATGCTACCTCAGTTTGTTCGGTGGACAACATGGAGAAATTGTACTTGAACATCTGGTTGATGCCACCTTCTCCATGCGATAGCTGCTACGGAGGAGCTGTCCAACAGCGTGCGGACATTTGCAACTGCCAGCATAGCTTCTGAGATGCTCTTCTTGTCGATAGCAGAGGCCGATGCCAGTTAGTTGTTTTTGCAGCTTTCGGTGTGACTGTCACGGGCTTCTGTGACAGGCTGCTATCCCCAAGCTGCACACATGGCGCCCGCAGGACAGCAACAGCTTTACTGTCCTTGTTTACCTTGTTTGCGGTTTGCGTGTGGCTAGAGCTAGAGTGTTTAGCACCACAAGCTGTCGTTATCAACTGGTTCTGGCCATCAGTGACATTGCACTTCACGTGGCATGCTGGTGAAGGAGCTGGCGAACACCGTTTGAACACTTGCACGCCTTCTCGCGCTGCACGAACAACTCATGAGCGGCATCGCAGAACGACTGCTCGTGCTCAGGCGGAGCGGCGGATTTTGCAGTGGCTGTGCTGCGTGATGCTTGTTGTATTTCCTCGGTATAGTTGCTGCCGGGAGGGATGCTTCGGAGATGCCACAGCAGACCAACCCCTCCACGGTTCAGGACAAGAAGTTTTTGGACTTGGAAGATAATGCAGTGCATTGCAGTGAAAGGAAACGGATCGATAATGAAGATACGATAGAAATCGGTCGCAGGAGGTGGTCAACATCGCACGGGCTTACGCGCAGGCAAGGCATGGGCATAGGTATATATCTGCAACCGGTCATTGGCGTTATTTCTGTAAGCAGGCGTCTTTCGTCCATGAGAAGCTCTTGGATTCGACTGGGCAAGAAGCTATCGTCCAAAGCCGTGCCTGGGATGATATGCATCCAACATGTGACCCCTACCGTTCAGATGTGCATGGCACAGCCACATCAGGAGTCTCTCAGGTGGACATGTGCTTTTGTCCTTGAGAGGCGAGTGGCCTCCACGAGATTTGGCAAACACGGTGCAGGCAGAAGCTCTTGTGCCTTTGCATGTAGCCGTGGGGTCGGTGACCTTCCTTTACAGGCTCGGGCAAAGATGGTATTGATTGACTATCCACTCACATCGGCAGCCTCTGCGGCGTCGCTGGCGCAGATACACCGGATGAACCAGCAGGTTCGACCCGACAGGCTAGTTGTCGCACGGAGTTGAAGTTGTGCTTTGCAGGACCTGTCGAACAGTTTCTGGTCGTTCGGCCAGCTCGAGATACAGGCGCGTCCCTGTCCTATTCCCCGTCGTTATCTTCACACGGGTCAGGACGTGGCACTAATCTGCGCTGCAGCGGGGCGTGTGCTTCCAATGCTGAGTTCTGCTCGTCCGAGTTCAGATGCCTTGCCCTCGTTCGGTGACCGTCTCACCACCTGTTTCCAGCTGCTTGAGACCAATTGCTTCGAGGTTGCAAGAGACCTGGCGCTTTTGGCATGGTCTTTGGCGAAGCTCGGGGCTTTGTCTTCTCCGCCTGGCTGCACTTCTGTGGCTTTGTGTGCCATGCACAAGGTTGGAGTTGGCGACTCGTCGTTTGATGTCGGCAGCTGCTGACCAGAGTCTCAAGCAGATCGAAGCAAGAACTTGTGGTCCACAGGTCGGGTGGGGGGGTGGGTGGGTAGGAGGGGGGCGTGTATGGCTTATCCCGAGGTGCTTGTCTTGCTCCTGTAGGGGGTTTTAGGGTTTAGGTATGGGGAATCCAGCCTTTCACTCCTTTTCGGATTTCAGAAACCGAGCATTGCTTGAGGTTTCGGGCATAGACGAATCGCGCGTTTAATATTTTGAGAACAGTCCTCTCTTCAGGCTTTAGGCTTTTCAGAAGCTCTGCATTCCTTGCGGCTGTTGTCTAGGTACTCAGTCAACCCGTTTAGGGTTTAGGCCTCGTTCGGGCGAGCACTAATCAAGCCTGTGGAAAAAGGGCAACGAGGCCTGCGGCAAAAAAGGGCCGAGGCCCAGGCCTCTTTTCAGGGTATTGGGTATACGATTTTTAATGTAAGGGTTTGGGCCTTTTTGGGGGTTGGAGTCTGAGTTAAGTGATACTGTAAGGGCCTGGAGAATCATGGAGAACCGGGCACTCCTCTGGAGGATCACTCTTTTCGGGGCTTTGGGCTTGTTGGCAACCACCTGTTGCACGGATCTGCCGCTTCTCCTGAACCACCAACTTCCTGTGGTGTAATTTTGTTGGGCAGCGTCCCTCCTTTGAGCCCTTTGCGAAACCGTCATTCTTTTGGGGCGGGGCGGGGGTGGGCGGACGGGTGGTACTTTTGTGGAGGATGATGTGTGCGTGGCGATCAAGCTGTTTGCTACAAGCGGTTTTGGACCTGTCACTCATCAAGCTGATGACTGAAGTTGATTCAGATCCACTGGAGCCCGGAATCCAGAATGGTGGGGATGATGGCGATGGCGATGACGAGGGCATAGTCATAGTCATGAAGGAGAAGATCATGAAGGAGAAGATGGCGATGAGGATGGTGGTGCTGGTGATGATGGTGATGGCGATGACGACGATGATGGTGATGATGGTGACAATGATAAGTAATGATGGTGATGATCATCTGGCAGGTCTTTTGTGCATTCTTCCTCTGTTCCGGCACGAAAGGCCCCGGCTAACACAGCTTGGGCCCTTGCGACCTACGCCCACCGGCATGAGTGGCTTGGCAGACAGGACAGCTCGGGATTGTCAGTTGGATCGCGAGAATCTGGACCCCAAGGCCTCCATTCGAGGCCGTCGCAAGGCTGCCCGGATTCACCGCGCGAGCTTCGAGACGCGTGGTAATCGCAATCTTCCCCAGTTCTACCATCGACCTCCGTGTATGCAGGCTCAGTCTTGAGACTATTTCCGAGTCCGATCAGCAGGAGCGGGGGCATGGTCACGTATTAAGAGCATCATCGCACTAGGTCTTGTGTCTCTGAGGAGCTTACCAATGCAGCGTGGGCTTTTGCCGAAGTCCGTTTCCGCAGTTCGCCTTTCACCGAAGCGAGGCACGTTATCGGACAGCAACGGGCCACTAGCTAGCCCATGCAACAGTTTTCAGAAGTAAGAGACCCCCTGCAACCTGAAGAATCGGATCCTCAGAGAAGGACCCCTAGTTCAATGACCTTGACCTTCTCAAACCCCATGCATTGTTTGCGGCAGCCCTGTCCCACAAACAGAACAAACATTGTTCTTCGAGTTGTGCCACGTTTCAGTTTCATCCTCCTTTCGGCTGCCGACATGCAGATGAGTCAGGAGGAGGCATCGGACTGCAAGAGCTACTCAGCTACTTCATGTTTTTCGTGCTTCCCTTTGAACTGGTCCATCGTGGAATTCGGCGTGTTGTTGGCATGCTAGTTGTGAGAAGCTGTCATTTCGTGGTGCAGATGCAGGCGGCACGCGGTGGGTACGCCATGGCTTGGGCGCAGGCAGCATTTCTGTTCATCTTGCCGACCCCTGTCTTTCGCTTTGGGCAGTGACTGCTCAAGTCGCGCGGCTTGTGCTAGCATCTGTGACGCGACAGGATCGCCATGGCCGTGCTGACCTCACACGTTCGCTGGTGCTGAGGTTCGTTGTATCCTGGCATTGCATATAAAACACTTTCCGGGCATAGCCACAAGCCAAACCAAGGCGACGATAGTAGCGGCAAGAGTAAAGTTCACGTGAGCTTAACTCGCGTGGCTGATCCAAGGCAGGGGAGAGATGCCACAGTCTCGCGTGGGGACTGGTTATTCAGGACGAGGCCTGGCAGGGGAGGTGCCTGATTTTTGGGATCCACTACCTTCTGTAGACCTGCTCCCAGTAGGGCCTGGAAAGCATTAGCGGGTGCTTCTGTTTGCAGGAATGGCGGCATCATGCACCACCCAATGGTGCAGCAGCCACACTGCAGGCTGAAACTTGTGACTGCGTCGTTTGATTCTCCAAAGAGGATCCAAGGGGCCGGGGATGTGGAAGGGCCCGCGAGCTGTTTCAATGTGGGCGGCAATGCTCGGGGGGGCTGACGTAAACAGAGCCCCACTCCCAACCCGCTTTTCCTGTTATGATGCACATTTTGCTTGTTGCTTTGTCAATGCTCGAACGTCAACGGCCTTTTATGAGTGATGCGGGAGGGTAAATCAGAAACTACATTCAATTTACTCCATGGCCAACTGCACTTACACGATTCCATGCTCTGTATCCGGCTAGGCCATGGCGCGCAACGAGTTCGGTGGACAATGAGGGGCCAAAGAGGCCTCCGTGCTTAGCAGCTTAGCAGCCCTAGAGTGCCGCGTGACTTGGGCATAGGACTAGGGTTTGCAATCACGGCATTAATCGGGGTTTATGCGTGTTCAATGTCGCATTGTCGGGTTAGGAGAGACTCACATCAAACGGTTTCACTCGCTCGGTCCGACCGTACCGTCGTAGCGTGCGAAAAAAGCCATGCACGTCGAGACACCAGGATGAAGAAGCCAATGCTTGGTCACGGAGCCCCCGTTGAAGCCCCAAACCTTGAAGCCTGGCCTTGAAGCTTAAACACCCCGCAGCTCAACTCTCAAACTTGTTTTGAGAGCGACCTTCTTGAGACCCTGGACTTGCAGACTTCTGTTCTTGCGACTTGTTTCGGACGAGTTCTCTGCGGTGCGACTGGAAAAAAACTCTGAAACCTCAGAAGCGCTGAACGCTAAAGCTGAAACCCCAAGGGTTGGGTGCTGCAGCCGCTTCGGCTTCCGAAGATGGCGAGGTAGACACAAACTCGCTGGCGGACCGAGCCTCAGCATTTCATTTTTGCTGTGTACTCAGTGTGCTCCTCCACCTTGTGACCAACCGGGCTAATGAGGGCGTGGAGGTGTTGTTTACCTTGATATGACTTTTGATCTGGGTCGTTTGTTGCGGCACGCCAGTGTCCTTACCGACAGACTTGCCGACTTTGGCAAATCAGATGAAGAACAAGGCTATGGCGAAGCTGCCCGCTGACGCAGCACAATGAGGGATGCGTGGGGCGAGATTGACTCACTGATGCGGATGGCAAATCGGGGGGTGGAGTTGCAGGTGTGAAGTGGAAAGTCATTGCCGAAGCCCTTGGAAGCGTGTCTTTGATTGAAGTCTGCCCTTGTTGAATCTCACCGTCTGGCCGTGCTTGTTGCCCTGGCCTTTTTCTCGGCTGGGTCTCGTCGTGCTTTTCCACGGCTTGTGCTCGCTGCTGTGCAAAACCCTGAACCTCTATCCTGAGTGTGCTCCAGTAGCATGCTTTGTAGTGGAGAGCTGCAGTGATCACCAGCAGGGCTGTGGTCAGGTCTTCCGGCGATGTCCCACCGGGCCGGCACAGGGGATGCTCCGATCCCTGGGCTTGTCACATCGAGCTTTGGGCTCAGAGGCAGAGTGGGCCTGGACCATGGGTGGTATGTTGAACATGATAGGACGGAATCCGGCCTACAAGCAGAGGCTGCAGAAGCAGAAGGTGTGCGAGGGTGGGCGAGAGCTTCAGTGCTGCGCCTCGGGACGAAGCGTCGCAGGAGGCAGAAGCAGCAGCGGAAGCAGCTCGTAGGGCTGAGATTGCCAAACTCAAAGCTGCAAAGCAGCGTCTGCCCCAGCTTGAGACAGTCGACGGAGCTTCTGAAGTCCTGAAGCTTTGAGGCTCCAGAGAAGCCGGCAGCAGAGAAGGCAGGGAAGCCTTTGGCCTTTTTCGGAGACTTTGAGAGCTTCCACGAAAACTCGGCTGAGAGGTCGCCGAGCATTCGTTCCGAGGAGCGCGAGCGTCGCGAGGGCTCTGAGGAGCGACGTCGTCGGGTGCTCAGAGCCGACCACATGGCCATCATGGCCATGGCCCCGAACAGGGGCTTCTTTCAAATCTTTCAATTCGTTTGCAGGTACTACATGTATAAGGGTTTCCGTGATGGGATCCACGCGGGTTTAGGGTTTCACTCTGCTGTGCAGTTCGGGAGAAGAAGGAGGCCGATGCCAAAGCACAGAAGGTGGTGAAGGATGCGGAGGCCAGCAGCCGCGGGAAGCCTCGTGTTCCCGTGCTGGGCTGCCCGAGGGTCTGGAGCTCCGAGTAATGCCGAAATGTGCAACTCACGTCAACTTTCGGGATGACAGTTCCCTCCTCACCGTTTTTCGACTCGTTCACGTGTGCGTTCCTCTCGTGCTGCTTCTTTCAGCAGCCTTATCGGCTTCGAGTTCTGGAGTTCGGAGTGGCACCCAGGGTTCAAGGACATGTCTGCGGTGGCCACGAGGATTACAATCTACCAGCCCGCGCGAGCAGAAAGCATCAGGTTTGCTACATGCGACGGCCACAGACTTCCTGGACAGGAGAAGCGAAGGAAAGAGGCGGAGGAGGCAGAAGCCCGTGCTGCCCTCAGGGCTGAGCCTTCGCTTGCGCTGCTTGGGCTGTGACGAGCAACCCGTATTGTGCAGGCAAACGGTGGGCCGAGCAGGAAGCGAAGTGGGCCAGAGTCTCAGCGTTCGATCCGTTCGAATGCAGACGGCCAAGTGCGTCGTGGCAGGCAGAGGAGCGCCGACTGCGCGAGGAGCAAAAGCGGGCGGAGGAGGAGCGCAAGGCCGAAAGCCAAAAGAGTTTGTCGCCGCGGCTCCGGCGCGGCCCACGGCGCTCCGCAGCTCGCCAGGTCGCGCGCCAGCAGAAGCTGAAAGGAGCCCGGGCCTCAGAAGCCCAGTGCCAGGTGGCCATCAGGTCGCCAAAAAACGCTTGCGGTGCGTGGCAGGCTTTTGCCATGGCAGACGAGGACGATGACGAGGAGACTCCATTTTATGGCGCGCTCTGTTGGCGTCTCTTCGGACGCCTCTCTTCCTTGCAGGATCATCGAAACAGAAAGTTGGCTGAAAAGCAGAAGACCAGGTCGTCGCAGGCCAGCACGTGGCCTGAGCACTCCGTCGGGCTCGGCAGGTCAGTGCCAAAGTTGGCGGAGAACTCAGGGCGGATTTTGACAGCAGAAGCAACTCGTAATGATTTTTGACAGCGCGAGGCGGTGGCAGTCTCTGCTTCGCCCGGTCGACCCCTGAAAGAGATGTATCTTCCTCCAACCAGAAGAGTATTCTGTCATTCTGTGATAGTTTCACCCTTGTGGACTTGCCTGTGCAACCTTCGACGCCCGGAGATCTTGGCCTCCCGCGCCTGCGCGCCCTTGAACTTGTGACTCATGGAGCACGGCGCGTTCTGCTTATGGAGGCCCAGCCGCTCCGGATAGGAAATCCCGGAAGGCGCGCGCATCTGCCCCGGTCCGGTCCGGTGCTTGTGTCCGCTTTTTTTTTGAAGGCCTCGCCCGACTCCAAGGCCAGGGCCAGGGCTGTCGGGCGGTCGTTCTGTGCTTTGATGAGAATGATATAACATATTGTACTATAACATACCGTCTGTCTAAAAACATATTAATTAATGCAATATAGTATACTATAGTATACTATAGTATGTTGTAAGAGCAGAATATAGTATCATGCAACATAGCAGAATCGTTTCAGTTCTTGACCTCGCTGCTCAGCTTTTTGTGCTGGCAGGATCCCATAAGCCTCCGAGCTGCTTTAGCAGATCCTTCTGCGCCGCCTGCGTGATTTCATCTCGGAGGAGGGAGGCTGTTGCGCATGTGCAAACATGCCAGGGGCCCCGTGTTCACTCTCCAGGAGAGGTGGTCTGGCCCCCGGCGGCGGCTTTTTAACGACCCGGCAAGTTTCCCGGAAAAGTCCCCCTTAGGCGGAGCATTTCCGCCGCCTCTCGGAGATGAAGAGGAGGCAGGCGTAATCGATTTCTTTACAAGCCCCACTATATGGCGCTGTGCAGGTACCGAAGAGCGGAATTTGGGGGTCCTTCGTCCGGCGGCCGGCGACGTACGCCTTCCAGGCCGTGTAGAAATAAAACAGTACTCCGGCGGCTTCTTGAGTTAACGGAAGACTTCAATTCGGTTCCCTGTTCTAGCATGGCCTTCGTGTTCGGACAACGCAAGACAGGTTTAGGAGTGTGTGCTTTCGCAAGGTGCATCGAAGCACCTAAACCTTCCTCAACCCCATTTTACTGTGATCTGTTAGTAGCCTTCAAGGTCCCAAATCCCAAAGCCACTTACTTAGATTGGTTGGGAGATTGGGATCTTGAGTGGCGAGTGAGCAGCTAGGTCATCTAGACATATCTAGGCATTTTCAACGCACCCAGGTAATCTTTCTGAAACACCTCAACTAGTGATGTTTCACTCATCTGACTTCTGACCTCGAACCGCATGCCTCGCCTGGATTGTCCGAGTGTGAGCGCCGAAACCTTCTCAAGATGGACCCAGAACGGTCTCAATGCGCAGGTCCCGGTCACGCGACAAGTACGACTCGGCTGCACGCTCGGTGCACATCGCTGTGACACCAACTCCTGTCAACCCGCCCTGAGCACCGGTGTTGTGCAGGTAGCCCGGCACCCTCAAGCCTCGAACTTCGTCCTTCTGCCTTCTGAGGTTTGGATCAAACCTGGCGCTCCAGGAAGCGAGGCCAAAGGGAGCCGCCGGGAGCGCTAGGGGCTCAGCGTTGATCGACAACGGTTGTTTCTGTGCGTGTGTTTGTGCATGTGCATGGACAGGCTTTCATTCGAATGTGTGATTTCTGGTCCATCTGGGTTGTTGTTGTTGTGGTTCTTGTGGTTGGGAGTTGCGGAGTGGGTTCCGCAGCTAAGGCTAGTTCCCTGCTGCCAGTGGACGTGTGCGAGAGCTTCGATGAAGGTGTACAGCTGCGAGGCATTTGTGAACGGAAGGTTGAACAGGTTTGTGCAGAAAGATCCATGCAGCATCTATGCAGGGCTCAGGGCCTTGAGGTCGGGTTGCTTTGCAGCGTGTCTTAGGACTTTCGCGCAGATGTTAAAGGCAGGACCCACTGGGAAGATGTTTCACTGCCCGCATGTGTCCGAGCCGACCTCCCAGAGTCGGAGATGAACTCCCAACGGACGGAAGAGGATCATGT